ATCTGCTTCACAGACTCTCTAAAATCCTCATCATTTCTTAGTGCAGCCACTCATTGCTGTTTCACATTAGAGTCACTCATTTCTCTTTTCACTAATGTGCGGCACATCCCAGCTTGAGTATTTCGACCTTGGCAAAGTTGGCACAAAAGCTTCATTTTAAAGATTCTGGGAATCCAGAGTTTTCCCGCCTTCAACTCTAAAACCCTTTGTCTGCTTACATTTACACCTACATGGTTTCACCCCCACCTCTGTGGGTCTGCACTCACTGGTTTCCCTCTCCTTTTTTCATTTTGTGTACAAAGACAGACAGAAAGACAAACAAGCAAACACACGTAGCTTATATATTCTCATGCACTTCTTAAGTGTTTATACTTGATGCTTGTGTCTGTTATGCTTGTATAGTATTGGCTACAGATTTCCTTTTTAATAACAAAGTAATCACTTCATGATGTGATTTCTTTGGAAATAGAAACATAGAGCTTATATATTTGATTCTGCCAATTTTTTATTTTTTTATCTTAATTATAAATTATATCCCGAGTCATTTGTTTGACTGACGTGATTTTATGAGACTGTGAATATGGTGGTTTTCCCCTATGAATTAATGCTACTGATAAAGAAGACAAATATAAGCCGTTAAAAACTAATACAAAGAGTTGTTTTTGACAAGAACACTTTAAAGTGTTTTTGTAACACCTAAAGATACACTTTGCAGTAGAGGCACATTTGTAACAGTACCTGAGTATTCCTTCTACCACTGCCCATATGATACCCTAAAGAGCAAGCACTCAGTTTGTAACCAGTAAAAAGCCTTCAAAGACAGCAGTTTGGTGAGGTTCGCATGAACAAGGTGGCCTGGGAATGAATCAAATCCCCGGTCTGAATTACTGTTTCAGACTACCCCTGCCACAAAGATAGGTTGTTCTTGCACGGTGCAAAACGATGACAACGTAGAGTCACGGTTACCGTTAAAAAAGAAACTACCCTCGTTAAAATGCAAAATAGAAGTCATTAAATATGGCGTAGCTTGAACGTAGCTAGTTCAACCTGAGGGTAAAAGGTACGCCAATCTAATAGGAGCAGAGTTTGGATCTCCGCCCCTGGGCGACCTCGCATTCCAAAGATTCCCACACTCTAAGCTCACCTGCCTTTTCCTGCACTACTTAGCAACACGTTTTCAAGGGCATTGCCACACTAAAGTGAGTTTTTCTACAAGAGGAAAACTAACCCCGGAGCAGTTTCCGTGCATTTACATTAGCCGGCCAAGTTTTCACCCCAACGGTTAGGCATGGCATCAAAAACAGCGCGTGAAGGTCCCTCAAAGGTGTGCGTTGTTTGCGATGATTTGGTCACAAGAAACAGATTAGGGTAGTATTAGATTCTTCCCCGCTGAGAGGAAGCCAAAAGAAGCTTGTCTTATGCCGCATGCACAGACTGAAAAAAAAAGCAACCACTCTCTTTTCACTTTCCGACTTCAAGAAAGCAGCCCATACCCTCCTGCCTGCTCTGCGCACAGATGCTTTCATTTCTCCCTGCGTTTTCGCTCCAATTATTTAGCAGTTTGAAAAGAAAAGAGAAACATTTCCATACCTTGGGAGGATTGTAGTTGCGCTGGCTGAGCTGCGGCTTGGATCTACATTGGAACGTGTAACTTCATCTGTAAAGTCCTGCCTTTTAGTCCCATGCATGTGGAAGAATGAAACTCGCGTCCACACTCGAGTGAAGAAGACGACCCCTCGGCTGCTCCTCGCCTCCAACAGCAGTCCCAGGCAATGCGAGCGTGCATGACGTCAGCGGGAATGTGGGAAACCGATGTGCACTCCTGATTGGTTGCAAAGCGAATACGGGGGCGTTCCCGAAGAGGTACGCGTTGTTAAATTAACCAATGACTGAGAAGATGATAGTTACCTTGGTTACCTGTTTTGTCAACCCATACACTATAGAAGAGAGAGAACAAGGTAAGCTAGGTGGCTCGTCGGGTATATATACTTAGTTTACAACGCAAATAATCGCTAATTGTTGTGTGTAACTTTATTGTAGGTGTAGTTTGAGCTTGGTCTTGTAGGAAACCTTTGGTTCACTTGTTTTTTTTTATGTGTTTTTTTTGTAAGGTTGAGCATAAGTTCTACCTAAGTACTGTCGCTAAACTATAGCAGTAGCAGCTATGACAATGATAAAGTTAAGCGTTTTCTAGTTTAATTAAGTAATATAATAATTGGTAAAAGTCGGTAAAGTAAATTAACAGAGCTTGGCTTGGAAAATATTTAGGCTAGTTGTATGTCCATAGTTTTAACAGCAAAAAAACAAACAAAAAACAACCTAATGATTTTTTTTTAAATATTTATTTTGTACATTTAGCCCATGTGCCACCTTTTCGTCACTGGTGTTATCTTACTCATTATGCAAATTTGGGGGGCTTCTATTAATTATTATTTAGAATAATGCAATGATAATGCAAAAATCATAAGATAATATTTTATTATTTCAAAGCGTTTGTTCAAAGCGTCAATGTATGATATTTGCAAAGCCATTTATTAGCAATAAAATCAAATGAAAGCATATAAAGAACACTTAAAACGAGTGACAATGCCATTCTTTATATCTTAACCTGTACCTGTACCAAATTTCAGTGGATGTAAAATTATTATCTCAAGGGTCTAATGTTACCCATAAGGAAGGTAACAGCAGTGACAGTTTTCATGGAAAATGCTTTTTACAAAATAGATGCTGCAAGCATCAAACCACATGATGTCAGTCATCTTATACTCACCAAATTATGTCATTTAATCTATTTATATTCTGTTGTTTTGTTTTTGTTTTTGTTTAACAATTTCCTAACTGTGTTGTATTAGTGACTTCAACTAAAAGCTTCTTATGAAATTACAAGATAAAACAGAAAAAAATCTGATAAATGAAAAGAGACACTGGTCTCATCATGACCATTTCTTTATAGTGCTTCAGGAAATCTGTGATAGTAAGTCAAGTGATGTCATTATTGGGATGTTTTGTTTCAAAATAATAAACGTTTCTCATAACGCCAGTGACACAGTTTTAAGGGACCATGACTGTCTTTATATATCTTACAATATTTATTTCACATTTTGCTTCATTTTGTCACAGTCATCATATTTTTAACATATCTGATTGATTTGATGCAAAAACGTATATGCAAAACATATAACAAAAAAACACAGCCTTTACCCACCATACTCCACTGTGGGGACAAACGCTGTGGTGGTGCCTGTTCTTCTATATAATTTAATTAAAAAAACAGATATTGTGAATTTAATGGATGAGGAAGGAAAAAATATTCAAATTTAACATGGAAATAAATTGTAAATAAAGTGGTTTTTAAGTGTAGTAAAAGCCAGGGACAGAAAAATTGACATTTCTAGAATGACCTATGTCTTGAATCCTAACCTTGGCTTGCCATTTGGTGTTGAAATGGAAAAAATAATAATTTTGCTGTCCTTAAAATTGGTATTTAAGTCTATATGTAATGGAGACATGGGCAAAAAATAGAAAAGGATTCAGAACAGCGCATCTGTTTTCCCTCCAATCATAGAAAAATTAATTCCTGCATAGTTCATCCCATCTCTTCACACACCATGCATTTGAAAGGAGATGAATCCTGTGCGAAAATATTTCCAAGCTTAATCCAAAACAAAGGCAAAAAAAACCAAACAAAAACATTCCAGCAGTATATTACACACACACTGGCTGCAGTACACTAAAACTTGTTGATGTTAACTAGCATTTTAAACAATGTCACACCAAACTTTTTTTTTTTTGTAGGCAACAAAGCTGTGCATGTGTTTGCAGCGCAATAATTAATGTATTTATTTTGAAGGTACTCTGGTGCATGAAGATAAAGCTCCACAGTGATGAGTGGAAAGGATCTACAAACATTCATAACGAGCATTAAAACGGAAGATGTTGGTAAGTGAGTGAAAAATGGCTGGAATATTCTGGCTTCTGACATAGTGGTCTACTGAACTGTTGAACCGGTTTGACCTGAAGCCCTCATGTCGAATTCTCCAAGTGCCTTTCAAGTCTGTTGTTTTTGTCACAGGCACAGCTTGTGTTTATCCACCTGCTTCCTTGAGTCAAGCCGAAGCACTGAAAAAAAACGTCTGACACAGTTTGTCTCTGCTATCCCCCTCCTCCTGTGCAATCATTTCTTTATTACACATACAATCCATTAGAGCTTAACTGGTGCTGCTCCTCTGTCTAACCTTTTTTTTGCTGAAGTCAGCATAAAGTTTTTACTTCAGACATTAAAAGTGATGAGATTTTCAAGAATTCCAGTGATCCTAATTCATCTATATCGTCTGTTTTCATCCATGCAGAAAAACTGACAGTGCGAATGAAAAATGGTCTTGGCAGCTCAAAGTACAAGCCGGCAGAATATAAAAGACTACTAGCGATTGTTGATGCCAAACGCCAGGAGACTGATCTAATTGGACAAAAGGTAACCTTTTCTTAGCACTATCATCCTTGTGCTAATAAAAAAAAGCTGTGTTTTCCTAAAATAAAGTCCTGTTGCATTTAATAACACGTTGATTCAGCAGCAAATAAAGGAGTATGTGGAATAAAACCACTCATTATACATCAAAGGAAGTGTTAACTAAATAGCATGTCCTCAGTAGTAGTAAAAAGTGCAATATCTGTGTGCGTGCATGTGTGTGTGTTTACCTTTTCCCACTCTTTCATATATGCCACACGCTGTAAAAGGATTTCATTTAGCATAAAATAGACATTGCATAATTCTTGTAGTTTGTCCAACAACATGAAAGAGAGCAGTAATATCACTGCCATACAGAATGGCATTTCTGTGAATATTCATTTGGCTTCCTGTGGTTTTTCCCACCACACTGTTTGAAGTTCATAGTCACATGATTATGAGCTGATCAAAAAGTTAATGCTAGGGGCACTGGAGATTAGGCTGTTAGACCTGTGTTGTTTTAATTAGTAAATTGTGTCAGAAGCCTTCTAGCATCATCGTGATAGCCCATGGCTTCTTCAACCCTGTGCTCTGGATAACTTAGATAAGAGAGGCTATGTTCATATTGGCCCTCCTGAAAAAGCAGGCTTTTTGAACATCTCATATTGGTGATGTGATAGGGGTAAATAAATTACCATAAGTAGCCTCAAGCATGGGATCATTTTTGCTTTCTATAAATGGACTGGCAGCATTAGTAGACAGTAAACACTTGGCAGCTCTATACTACACTCTGTGCACTGTGTTACCCAATATACAGATATGTGTGTATGTAAACACTAAAAAAAGGAGTGGGAAACATATTTTTTTCAGTACTGTTTTGATTACAGGTAGACATCCAACAAATGGGCATAATATTGCTACATTTTCCCTACTGATTCACCTATATTAATGTTTACGTGTTTTTGCTGAAACACATTATATTATAAGAAAATGCATAACTGACAGATTCCATGTCTCCAATATTGCGGGAGAATCCCCTTTGTGTGATTGCAAAGTTATTGATCCTTTACTCATGTATGACATTTCATTGATGATTTGTATTTCAAAATGTATTAAAAGGAGCAATAAAGAATGAAAAATGCATAAGGAAAGGGTATATCACAGGGACTGCTCAGGATGGAGGTGATTTGGAGACAAAGTAAAAGGGGCAAGGTTGAGATGGTTTGGCCATGGGTAGAAGAGTGATAGTGCATGTATTAGGAAAAAGCGAAGGTTAATGGATGTAGTGAGAAAGGACACGCAGATAATTGGTGTGATGCAGAGGATAGGGTGGCAACACCTGAAGGGAGAAGTTGAAAAAAGAATGAGACGTGGCTTATAACAATACCTGTGGTTTAACTTTAAATCCTTCAAACTGAAAAAGATGACTTTTTACTCATTGTGTATGAAAGGAAATTAAATGTCCTCATATAACTATTTTTACATTGTTCATGTGGATGTCTACGAGCTGAATATACAAACCCTATTATAGAGAATTTAAGACACTGTGTAAAATATAAATAAAAACAGAATGGAATGATTTATAAATCACATAAAACAGAATAATAACAGAAGATAGAAAATATGACATTTTAGTATTTCATGAAAAATATTAGGTTACTTGGCAACAGGTCAGTAACAGGTCAGAGAGGATAAAAAGAGATCTTAGAGAGTCAAAGTTTCTCAGAAGTAAAGATGGGTTGAAGTTCACCAATCTGGGAAAAAAAATTTGTGTCTACTAATTGTGGAAGAATTCCATAAAATGTAAACAGCTTGTCATCTACAGTACATAGTATTACCGAAAGATTCAGAGAACAAATCTCTGTACACAAGTGACTAGGTTGAAGATTAATACTGGATGCCTGTGACGTGCATCGCTGCATTAAAAACAGCCATGATTCTACCATGGAAGTCTCTGCATGGGCAAAGGAATAGAAATCACTGCCTGTGAATGCAGTTCAGCATGTCATCCACAAAGGCACGTTAAAACTCTGTGATGCAAAGAACAAGCCATGTGTAACATGATTCAGACAGGGCAGTGTCTTCTCTGGCCTAAAGCTTATTTGAAATGGACTGAATTAAGTGTTAAACTGCTCTGTGGTCAGACAAATCTAAATATGAAATGCTTTTCAAAAACATCCTTCATCCTCTGGACTAAAGAGAGAGATAATCCTGCTTGTTATCAGCTCTCAGTTCCTGATGATATGGGGCACATCAATCCAACATCTATTACAAGAGCATTACTTTGTAGCAGAAGAGTCAGGGTGCTGAACAGGCCTGTCTGCAGTCCAGAACTTTCACCAATTAAAATCATTTGGCA